GAGGGTCAGGCTGGATTAGGAAAAGGTTCTTCCCCCAGTGGGTGGTGGGGCACTGACCAGGCTCCCCAGGGAATGGGCACAGCTCCAAGGCTGCCAGAGCTCCAGGAGCATTTGGACAACCCTTTCAGGGACAGGGTGGGATGGTTGGGGTGTCTGTGCAGAGCCAGCTGTTGGACTTTGATAATCTTTATGGATTCCTTCCAATTCAGGATATTCTATGACACTATGGAAGTCCCAGGCAGCATGCTGCTGGTGGTAGGGCTGGGATTGGTGGTGGCTAGATTATTGGTGGGTCAAGACAGCGCATCAATCTGCAGCTTCTCTGGTGAGAAGACAAAAATTGTGGTGCGTCACAGCAGTGGGAGAGGATGAAAAGACAGATCCACCACCTGTGCCTTTACTGGGTTGCCAAAGGTGTATTCCAGACAGGCACTGGGGCACTGGGCTGAGGGCAATGCTGGAGGGTGAGCTGCATCAACAGGTAGCATCCTTCATCCTCCTCACTGGGGCAAGGACTGCTGGCCAGAGCACTTTGGGATACACCTGGAGCCAGCCAGGTGAGAGAGAACCCCTGGAGCTGGGAACCTGCAGGCACAGCAAGCAGAGAGATGGGACTTGTCCCATCCAGTCCCTGGATGTATCCAAAGCCAGGCCGGATGGAGTTTGGAGCAACCTTCCAGATTGAGGAAGGGGAAAGAAAGTGGCTGCATGGCCAGGATAAGAGGGAGGAGAGGGCACCACTGAGGATATCCCACTCCAGTCACCCATGGATCGAGCACAAGGCAGGGACTCAGGGTGCCCTCCCTGCCACACCTGGGAAGCCAGACAGGCAGTGGCTCTGTCAATGGCTCCAGTTCTTCCCCAGGGCTGGAGATCCCATAAAATAGGAAAATAACAGCCTGCCCACACATGTGAGTCAAGGGGGAAGAAGCAAACAAATTAAAAGGCACAGGCATGCAGGTCTGGTCCTCCTGGTACTCCCTGTGGTAATGGGGCTCACAAGACTTGAGTCCTGCAGCCCTGTTGGCTCCACCAGCACTGTGTCACCCTGAGCCCACATCACCAGCAGACATCGCCCCTGGCTATCCGACAGCCTCCTCTGCTCTGAGGTTTTGCTGTGGAGAGCAGCCCTCAGGGAAAAACTGGGATGAGCACAATGAAAGTGGAGCCCAGATCCCAATGGTTTGCAGGGTCCTGGGAGGGAATCGAATTTTTAAACTCAAGAATTGTTTGATAAAACATTGCAGGGCTGTTATTTGCATTTGCTGAGAGACGTCTGCATACCTCCCAAAGAGGAGAAGCATAGTGTAGTTATTGCTGTGTGGGGTAGCTCCTGTCAGCATTGGTTATGTGGGGTTGAAGGAGCTGTGTCTGTGGGGGGGTTACAAGTTTATGAGACCTGGAAATCATGGGGTGCAGCGTTTCCCTTTCCTGCTCTCCTCCACCCCTCTGGGATATGAAAGGCTGTGGCTGAACCAACTTCCCAGTTCCCCTCAGTCATCTCAGGAGGTTTGGATGGGGAGAATGTCTGCTCTAGCACAGCCATGTGTTACAATCGGCATTGGAGGTTTGCTGCAGTCTTCAAATCATCTCTTTGCACTGTTCTTCCTGTGTGAAGGGGGGTCCCTAGCAGCTGGGGCTCCTGCAGCAGCTCATCTTCCCACCCTAGCACAGCTACAGGCAACTCAGCCCTCAGGAACTGTGTCGTGGAAAATTCTCCATGTCCCGCCCTGAAACTGTGCCCCCATGGCACCCATAGGATCACCAGCACCCTACTGACCCCCATGGGAGCTGGGAAATAAAAGAGTCAGTTACTCAACAGTCACAGCTCCTGTCTCTTAGGAGCACACCAAAGCCACTCTGGGTCTCTGGGGCTGTGATATAGATTGGAACAGGGCTGGTCCCACATCCTGACTTGGCAAATTCCCACAGGCAGTATAGAGCTTCAAGGGTCGGCAGGTAGAGCTTCTCAGAGTAGGGGATGTAGCTCAGCGGAAGAGCATTTGCTTTGCATGCAAGAGGCCCTGGGATCAACCCCCAGCATCTCCATCTCTTTTTGCCTCCCTGGACTCCTCCCTGCTGGATTCAGGGTCGCCAGAGTCCCTTCAAAAGGCCCTGGGGTTTCCTCCTGGAATGGCTGCCCTGGAAAATCCTCCTCAAGGCTGTGGCTGTGCTGGGAAAAAGCACAGCCTCAGCTGTACCCTGAAATACAAACTGTAGGGCTGGGGAGGCAAAAGGGGTGCAGCACTCTAGATTGTTGGTGTAGGGATAGATGTCTTGCACTTTTGCAAGAATTCCTGAGTTCAACTCCTGGATAAACCCTCCTTTGGATACAACCCCTCCTTTTTGGGGGAAACCCCTCCTTTGGATAAAGCCCTGGCTTTGCAGACAACCCTTTGTTAGATCAGCTCTTCCTGTGGGACTGCATGCCTGCTGCTCTTTGCTGACCAGGTGTGGGATGATCACTCCTCGAATTCCCCCGCTCCCGGCAGACAACATCCCGCGCGATGGCTGTAGCTCCTCTCCTTCAGCCAAATGTACTTTTAGCACATAAAACCCCAATCCCTGCAGTGCCAGAAGAATGCGCCCACCGGAGCAGGTATACCGAGGGGATGTAGCTCAGTGGGAGAGCGCTTGCTTCGCATGTAAGAGGCCCTGGGTTCAATCCCCAGCATCTCCAATTGCTCGGAGTGGGTTTTTTTTGCTTCCTCCACGAGGCGGCCATGACGAACTCCTCTTACATCAGATTTCCCCAAAGGCGATTCCCTGCACTATGGCTGTGCCGCCCACCCACGGCCGAAATGGCAGCACGAACCCCACGCTCTGCCGTCCCCCACTGCCCCGATAGCCCCTTCCCCACTCAGGAGACGACCAATCCTGACAACGGCTGGGCTGTGTCAGGCCTCCCCTGTCCCCTGTGCAAGGCAGAGTGGCCCCACGCGTGCCCAGAATCCAGCGACGAGTGCCCAAATAAAAAGAAGGGCTCGTCCGGGATTTGAACTCGGGACCTCTCGCACTCTTAGCGAGAATCATACCCCTAGACCAACGAGCCAGGGTCAGTAAGGTAACCTGCACTCCCACTGTGGCTGGGACACCCTGGACATCTCCCTGCTGCCAGGCAGATGATGGCCGAGGGGTGAATGCGCTGCACTCGAAATCCAGCAGGGATTCCCTGCGCAGGCTCCAAGCCTGCTCACTGACATGAGTTTTACCCAATGCCCCCAGATACCCACTCCGAGAGCGTTGGGGTGCCCTCGCTGGGGTTCCTGGTAGAAGCTGATATGAGAAGGTCATTGGCATCCAGCGCAGCCCCGCTCCTCTCTCGGGAGCAGCCAAATGCCCCAGGCAGGGGTTGTGATGCCCCGGGGCAATGACACACTCGGGGTTCTCCAGGTTTTGCAGACCCAGGAGAGGTGAGTAAAAAGATACTGAGGGGAGTGCTGCGGGGAGGTGGAGCAGTTTCCCACCTTGCTGAGTGGATGTCCCCTCACCACCCTGTCCCACATCTCTGGGAGAGCAGTGCACCCCACCTCGTTGGTCCAGCTCCCAGAAGAGGTTTTTGGCACCACTAGCCCTCCTTCCAGCTGCTCCTCCCAGCACCGATGTACACCTCTAGAGGCATCCCAAGACTTGTGGGGAAGGAAAACAAAGTGCTCCAGTGCCCTACAGCCTCTGGGCAGGGTAGGGAAAGAGTCTTGGGCATTTCCACACAGGCTGGTGGTGCCAGGAGGCAGTGCCAGGCTTTCCTAGGGAACTCTGGCAGCCGTGCATCCAGCAGAGAGGGGTCTGGGGAGGCCAAAGGACATGAAGGTGCTGGGGGTGGATTTCAGGGCCTCTTGCAGGCAAAGCAAGTGCTCTGCCACTGAGCTACACCCTTGGGGCAAGAGCAGGGAGGGGGCCCTGGGATGCCCATGCTAGAGTGGGGAAACATTAGTTTGGGGTCCCCTTCCTGGGCTTATCATCTTGAGCTGATTTAGGATTCCAGACGTCAGAGACTTTGCCAGGGGAAACCTGCAGTTGTGCCAGGGACGAAACCATGTGGTGACTTGATGGGAGTGGAGTGTGCAAGGAGACATGTGCAAGGAGACCCGAAGCTGCCCAAGGAAGCAGCCAGGGCTGCGTGGGCCTCGCAGAGTGTGGGAGCAGGGAGGTGCCTCTTGCTGTAGCCTCGAGATGCCAGATGCAGCACATGGGTGTCGCAGGTTCCCTTTCCTCCGTCAGTGGCCCTCGGCGGCCCTTGCAGCAGTTGGAATGGTCGGTGCTTTGTTGTGGCACGTTTTGCTGTGGGGCATGGTGCAGAGGGGATGTGCTGTGAGCGGTGTTTGTGCTCAGCGTCAGCAATGGGCGTGTGTGTGTGGCAGGGCTGTGGGTGCGTGGGGGGCGCAGCGTTTTTGGGTGCAGGGGCTAAGAGGAGAGTGGAGCGAGCAACGTGGTGGGTGCGAGGCGGTGGCGTGTGTGAGGTGTGTAAGGGCTGTGCAGGGTTGTGCGTGTGCGTGGTGTCGGTGTGCGGGCAGGGCGGCGAGGTGTGTGAGCGTGTGTGAGCGTGGAGCGGCGCGCTGTGGGCGGCAGCGGGGACGTGTGCGGGGTGCGCTGGGGCAGAGTGGGGGGGCGGGAAAACTTGGTCGCCGCGGCTCGTTGGTCTAGGGGTATGATTCTCGCTTAGGGTGCGAGAGGTCCCGGGTTCAAATCCCGGACGAGCCCTTCCTTTTACACAACCAGCGCTGCCCCGACACCCGGGTGAGCCCCGGCCCCCGTGCTCACGCCGGGAGACACCGTGAGCCCCGTGCGGAAGGGACTCGGGCTGCCTCCACTCTCTACGGCACCTGGCCAAGGAGGGACATCTCGCCACGCATTTCCTTGCTGCCTGCATTGGGCTGCCAGCAGGCAATCCCAGCTGCCCCGTGCCCACAGGCAGCCGCAGGGATTTCTTGTGGGCCATCTGGGGCTCTATGGGGGGCCTTGTATGCGTATGCGGAGGGCTGTGGAGCGGCAAAAGGAGATGGAGATGCTGGGGGTTGATCCCAGGGCCTCTTGCATGCAAAGCAAGCGCTCTCCCGCTGAGCTACATCCCCGTGCCAGCGCGTGTGGTGGGGCGTTCTCCTGCATCCGAGCAAATGCATGTGTCTGCTGCCTTGCCCTGCCGCCCAAGCTGGGGAAAGGGCCTTCAGGTGTTTGCAGGCAGTGCGGGTGCCTTAGGTGTCATTGGGCTGGGGAGGGGCTTGGAGCAGGGCGAATAAGTGTGGCGCAGAGCAGGCAGGGCAGGTAAGGGGCAGAGTGGAGACGTGGCAGGCCTGTGTCGGGCTGCTGCAGTGTCGGGAGGGCGGGCGGAGGTGGCGAGGGGGAGTGCGAATGCCAGGGCAGGGTTGTTGCAGTGGGTTGAGGTGGTGAAGGTGGGCGCTGGGTGTGTAAAAAGAAGGGCTCGTCCGGGATTTGAACCCGGGACCTCTCGCACCCTAAGCGAGAATCATACCCCTAGACCAACGAGCCGCGGCGCGTTAAACGTCCTGCTTCACCCGAGTGGCCCGGGACACACGGACATTTCCGCCTTTTCCCGCAGGACGGAGCGCGGTGCAGCCCGGGGGCAGCGCGCCCCCCGCCCCGCAAAAGACCGCCGCTGTGATGGCCGAGAGGTGAAGGCGTTGGACTCGAAATCCAATAGGGATTCCCTGCGCAGGTTCGAATCCTGCTCACAGCGATGGATTTTAGCCGGTGTCCATAGTGCACGAGTCCTGCGTGGAGTGGCCCCCCTGTGGTGAATAGCGGTCATGTTGCAGTGATTTGTCTGTAGCTCGTGGTAATCAGCAGTCTTGCTGATTGCAGCAGATTTTTTTTCTTTATATGTTAATTGGTGCTGGTGAGTGCTGCCATCTGGCCTCACAGAGCCCTTGCGCCCGTAGCTGTTCCAAGCACGGTAGGGCCAGTATGATGGTGTTTATCCAAGCCCCTTTCTGCCCCTGGCCACAGATCGATTCAGTTAATGAGAAACTCTAGCTTGGGAAAGAGGCAACGTGCTGGCTGCTGAGAGGCTTTCGCTCTGCAGTGGGACGGGAAAGGGCAGGAAACCCCTAGGGTGTGAAGAGCCGAGCCGGGGGCTGAGGGCTGCAAGCAGACCGTGGGACCATGGCCAAGCTGGTGGAATGCGTCCCCAACTTCTCAGAGGGGAATAACAAAGAGGTGAGGGAGTATGTGGAAGGGCTGAGGGGTGGGTGACACCGGGCCGCTGACAGCCAGGTTTCCCCCTGCAGAGCGGTATGCACTGCTAGACTCTGCCATGCCTCCTTTGCAGTGCCATGCACCTTTCACCACTTGGCTGGTGCCAAAAATGTCTAAAGCTAGCTTTGAGTCCCTTATGGCACCTCAGTGGGAAGCAGGGACTGAGACCTCTTCCACCATTGCCAGCAGGTTGCTTGCAGTTGTGCCAAAGCACACTGTCAAGGTTAATGGAGTCTGTCCTGGGCATCAACCTTCAAGTGAACTTTGGCTCTGCCAGTGGCAGGAGAATTTAGCAAACCCAGCATGGGTGTAAAAACACAGCCTCCTGCAGGGAAGAGGCTTAGCAGAGCCAAATGCGTTGGGAAGCTGGCAAGTGGATGTATCCTCAGGAACAGCAGTTTATGGTGGTGCTCTGTGACATGCAGCAGCAGCCAGGTGTCTCTCCCCCACCACAGGGAGTTTGGGGAGTCAGGGTGCCCCAAACCCCCTGGATGGGAGTGGGATGCTTGTGCAGGGCTGCATCCCCACTGATCACGGGGTCATTCTCAACCCCATCACCAGTGGGAAGGGGAAGATCTGAGATGCCCCCTCTCTTGAAAAGCTATGGCTGTTGTATAGTCCCAGCCATCTCAGCCCCCTTGCTCCCATCTCTGCCCGGCAGGTGATCGATGCAGTGGCACAGGCCATCTCCCGGACACTGGGATGTGTGCTGCTGGATGTGGATGCCGGCGCCTCCACCAACCGCACCGTCTACACCTTTGTGGGGTCCCCTGAGGCCGTGGTGGAAGGGGCATTGAGCGCAGCCCGTGTGGCTGGGCAGCTCATTGACATGAGCCAACACTCGGGTGAGCTTGGGAGAGGCCCAGGGGCTGGGCTGGCACAGAGGGGACTGCCATACTGCTGGGACCAAGCATGGCGCTGGAACAGGGACTGTGGTCACAGGCCCAGGCTTGAAAGAGTTTAAGAAGCATTTGCAATGCTCCCAGGCACATGGTGGGATTGTTATGGCTGCCCTGTGGAGTGTGTTCTCCCTCCTTGTCTGCTTGTTCTTCCCACCTCCCACTCGTATATCTGCCCCGCCACCAGGTGAGCACCCTCGGATGGGGGCCTTGGATGTCTGTCCCTTTGTGCCAGTGAGGAATGTCAGCATGGAGGAGTGTGTCACTTGTGCCCACATCTTCGGGCAGCGCTTGGCAGCAGAGCTGGGTGTACCTGGTGAGTGGGTTCAGGAACCTCTCCACATTCCATCCCATCCTGCATGATTCAACTGTTGGAGAAAGTGCCAGCCTTGCCTGGCAGTGCTCAACCCTAGCTGTGTCTTGCAGTTTACCTGTATGGAGCGGCAGCACGGCACGAGAGCAGGAAAGCCCTGCCCTCCATCCGTGCTGGGGAGTACGAGGCACTCCCTGAGAAGGTGAGCCTGGTGATGGCACTGGCTGGGCAGACCTGACCTGTACTTCCCTGGCTTCAGGGAGCAGGCTGAGGGCTGGTGTAGTCCCTTTGCACCAAGAGGAGCTGGTGACACAGGTGGTCATGGCAGATTCCAGCTGGGGAGGGAGATGCCCTCCTTGCGAGGGTGGCATGTGCTCCTGGCAGTGCCAGCACACACACTCTCTTTCCTTCACCCCAGCTTGCAAAACCAGAGTGGGCTCCTGATTTTGGGCCCCCAACTTTTGTCCCTCGGTGGGGAGCCACAGTGACAGGTGCCCGGACCTTCCTTATTGCGTACAACATCAACCTGCTGTGCACCAAGGAGCAGGCTCATCGCATCGCCCTCAACATCCGTGAGCAGGGCCGCGGCCCCAGCCAGGTACATTAAGAACACGGGCACACCAGGAGCACACCTGCCTGTCCCCACACCTCCTGGGCTGCGCCCTGAATGTGGCAGTTGTTGGCAGCCCGGGCGCTTGAAGAAGGTGCAAGGCATTGGCTGGTATTTGGAGGAGGAGAACATGGCCCAGGTTTCAACGAACCTGCTGGACTTTGAGACCACGCCGCTCCACGCCGTCTACGAGGAGATCTGCCGAGATGCACAGGTGGGTGGCTTGTGGTGCCTGTTCCCAAGGGGGCTTCCCAGAGGACGTCTCCCAACAAGTTTCCTTCCTCACTGTCTGGTCAGGCTCTGGTTTCTCTCATGCTTAGCTCAGCCAAAGTGCTGAATGGCACAAAACTCCCAGAAACTCATCAACTTGCTGCGAGTCCCCAGCTCCTCTGTTGAAAGATTTTCTGTGAGCTTCCCATGTCCTGGGAAGGGATGAGGACCACCAGGCTGAGGTAGTAGTGGCAGCAGGCCTCTGGGGAAAATCACATTTCTGATGTCCTTTGCAGGAATTGAATCTCCCTGTGGTGGGGTCTCAGCTGGTAGGGCTCGTTCCCAAGAAGGCCATTCTTGATGCAGCTGACTTTTACATCAAGAAGGAAAAACTCTTCATACTGGAGGAGGAACAGAAGATCAGGCTGGTAATGTGGCTTCTCTTGATACCAGCACAAGGGTGGGATCATGGGAGAGACACATCCCACCCCCCACCAGCCTCCCAAAGTGGCACTGAGCAGAAATTTGGGACTGCTCAGGCCTCAGGCATGACATTTGTTTCCAGTGCGGATTTTGTGGAGTAGGACAAGCTGCTTTATTGAGCTGATGATGCTGAGATGCATAGGGAGCAGGAACCACAACGTATGAGGCTTGAATGTGGGTGGCAGCTGCTCGTCTTGCCTGCATGGAGGCCAGGAGGGGAAGGAAGTGTACCCAGGGCTCAAGGGCAGTGTGTGGCATTATGGGAGGCTGTCCCAGGACGGGGAGTTAGCTGGAAAGGAGGAGACAAGCTCTGCTGTTCCACTGCAGGAGGGAGGGACTTTTCCAGCCTGTGGGGAACGTGCTAGATAAGAGCAAGCTAATGATTTATCAGTATAGCTCCCAGTCATTCAGAGGTGACCCCACACCACCCCCGAGTCTGCGATGGGATGGGCTGGTGGTGTCAGCTGTCCTCTCCCTGGGTGGTGGCCCAGTCCCAGTGCTGACTCACCCATGGTTATTAGCAGTGGGGAATGAGGATGCAACAGGACTTATGTAACAGGGTTGACACAGTGGTGCTGCTCCTTGCAGGTGGTCAGTCGTCTGGGCTTGGACTCCCTGTCTCCATTTCACCCTCGGGAGCGCATCATCGAGTAGGGACTCGCATCCCACTTCTTGTCATGGTGCCCATTCCTCCCTGAATGGGGGGATCCTGATGCCTGCATCCTGCACTCAGCTTGTTTTGGGAGTGGTGGCTGCTCCCAGCTCATCTTCACAGCCTGGGGACATCTCTGCTGGGTGGTTGGGCAAGATCAGGGTGGTCCCTGCTTCCAAATGCTGATGGTTGTGAACGTGGAGTGGGGGAAACTCCAAGTTGCTTCAGCAAGCAGCCTCAGGGAGCAGGTTTTGTGGCCAGATTTGAATGCTAAATTCCTTCCCCTATCCCCATGCAAAATTCACTGCCTCTGGTTCACATGCTGCGGCACCTGGTGTGAAACATGAGTCTGTGGGGGGAAAGGAAGGGAAATCCATCCACAAGGTGAAGTCCATGTCACCCTTCCTGGGCCATGGCTGCAGAGGTGTTTCTGTCCCACCAATGCTGCTTGCATCAGCCCAACCTGGCTAATGCAGAGCAACCCCCACACCACCTGTGTTCCCCAGATATCCCCCATGGGGTTCCCAGTCCTTACCCTCACCCTCAGGCTGGGTTTTAGTCCCCTACTAATTCACGGGGCCAGTGCTGGAGAGGGCAGTGCTGGGTCTGGGTGGTGGTGGTCCCTGCGCCTGGAGGACTCTAAAACACCTGTGCTGCAGGTACTTGGTGGAGGCAGGAGATGTGGACAGGGGGCTGGTGGCCAAGCCACTGGGTGCCTTTGTGCGAGCGGTCGGAGCAAGGTCAGCAGCGCCAGGAGGAGGCTCCGTGTCTGCGGCTGCGGGAGCCCTGGTACGTGCCCCACACCAAGAGAGAGGCCTGAGGGGCCTTGGTGTGCCAAGCGGAGCTGGCATGGTGGTAGCAGTGCCCACTGTGTCCTACTGGAGGATTTACCGTGGCAGGGAGCAGCACTGGGCAGCATGGTGGGGCTGATGAGCTACGGGAAGCGGCAGTTTGAGGACCTGGACTCCATCATGAGGAAGCTGGTCCCCCCTTTCCACCAGGCTATGGATGAGCTGGTGGCAATGGTGGATGCTGACTCCTGTGCCTTCAACAGCTACATGGTGAGGTTCCAGCAGAGGCATCCTACAGGGAAACAGGAGGGCTTTCCAGCTGGGATGAGGGCTGAGATCGCTGTGCTCTGGATTCCTTAGGAGCAGGGCTCTGACCTTAGAATCACAGAGTCATTAAGGTTGGAAAAGACCTCCAAGATTTTCAAGTCTAACCTTCCACTAAGTACACCCATGCCCACTAAACCATATGGCAAAGTGCCACTTCTGCTTGCTTTTTGAACACTTCCAGGGATGCTAAAGCAGGGCCTGGGGAAGGGACATTGTCACATAAGGGAGGTTTGCAAGAGCTATGGGATCTGCCCTGACACCCGTTGCAAGGCACAATATGGGTGATGGCAGCAAACCTGATTTTCTTTGCCTGCAGGAAGCCATGAAGCTGCCCAAGAACACTCCTGAGGAGCAGGAGAGGTGAGCTGGGCTGGTGGGGATTGGCTGACTGTGTGGGCACAGCCACCCAGCGCTCAATCCAGGGCTGTCCCTCCTCTCAGACGTGCAGCTGCCATGCAGCAGGGCCTGAAGATGGCCGTGGGGGTGCCCTATGGCCTGGCAGAGAAGGTGAATGGGCTCTGGCCTGCTCTGAAGGAGCTGGCACAACACTGCAACCTGGCCTGCAAATCTGACATCCAGGTAATGGCCCCAGCTCACATACACTTGCCCTGCAAAGTGTTCCCTCATGTCCTGACCTCTAGGATACATCTCTCCAGCTGTGCTTCCCAAACTGGCCAGTGATTTCCACCCAGTAATTCTTTGGCAGCCATTTCCTGAGAATACCAACAGATTGGAAAGCGCTGCATGCTGCTGGGTGGTGCAGGGTGGGAGTCCTGCAGCATGAGGGTCTGACCTGCTTCAGTGCCATATGGTGGAGCTGGTTCACCAGGAGAGCTTCTCGCAAGCCTGACTTTTCCCAGGTGGGAGCCAAAATGCTGGAAGCAGCAGTGTTCGGAGCTTACTTCAATGTCATTATCAACCTCAAGGACATCACGGACGACAAGTTCAAGCTTGTGGTGAGCCGGGCCTGGCGGTGCAGCTGAGTGGTGGCGGAGGGGGCGGTGGTGGCCTGGAGCCCCTTGTGCCCGTCTGCCACCAGTGAGACACGTGGTGCCCAGGGGCTGGCTCTTCTGGCCTGTCGGGTGGCAAATGACTCATCTTGTCCCCACACAGATGTCACAGAAGGTGTCTGGGCTGCTGGAAGAGGCGAAGCAAGGCTCGGCAGTTGTGCTGGCACTGCTGGAAAAGCGGGTGGCCTGAGAAAGGCTTGGGAGCGCTCTGGGGGTTCTGCAGTGGCAAATACTGGGAAATACTCTTGGCCTTGCCTAGGCTTGGCAAGGTACTCGCCTCTGGAGGGCTGTGTGAAAAACATGTTCACTCTCCTGTGAAAACTTAAAAAGTTTAATAAAAGACAATAGGAAACAAGAACCATGGAGCAAAGGTTTTTACGGGTGCATCTTGGCAGTCAGCCAAGACCACACTGCCACCTTTGGGGATCCCCCTTAAATACCTTTTCCCTTAAATCAGCCTGTTGCATATTCATAGACCCTTATGCATATCCATAAAGTAGTTTACATTTTCCAGGAACTATTTAACATGCCCCCTCCTCTGGTCCACCATTTTAGAGCATGTGTATTTCTTGGCTGTAGTTTTGACTCCTTCTCCTAATCACTTCTAGTTTGGGCCTTGGTCCATGCTTGGGAGATGGGGTGGGTTGAGATGGGAGAAATCCTACACCCTCCTCATAGATCCTCCAAGAGGAAAACCTGAAAATCAGGGCATCCAGCCTTGCCTCCTGTCCCTGTTGACCGAGTGTGTCAGCAGATACTGTGTCCTCCACCTGCACACCCTGGCAGCACCGTGAGCACACTGTCCCACAGCCCCGTCTGTGGGAAGGTCACCCCTGTTCCTAGAGACTGTCCCTGAGCAGGGAGCACAGTCAGGGTTCATAGTGGGGTCAGCTGACTCACTCCATCCCTCCCTTGTCGCCGGGAGCTGGAATCACCGCCCTTCATAGCCTGTGTTTATTATCCATTTTTTATCCCGGACCTTTGTGCCGGCTGGGAGCGGCGTGTTGACGTTTCTCGCATGCCCATGGTGAGGGCGCGGTGTCACCTCTCAGGTGTCGCCCCTGCCCGCCGCACCCCTGCTCAAAGGGGCAGGGCCCCGCTATTTAAGGATGCCCTACAGCCGGGACAGCCGTGTCAAGGACGGGGATCCCGAGTGCTGCCTACGTTGCTTCTTCTGGGAGCTCTTCCACAGGTTTGGTGAATGCAGGGCAGCATGGGGGCAGTGGGAGCATGGGCACCCGTGGGTCAGGGTGCACTGTCCCCAAGGTGGGCACTGTACCCAGGCACGTGTCCCCAGTCTCTTGTGGCCCACGAGGGCATGAGCTCGGCACCCAGGCTGGGCCATTGTGGATTTATTTCTATTAAAAATGGAAACCACATGCCTAGGCTTTGGGGGTGCATGGAGCGGGGGACAGTCGCTCTGGGAGTTGGTGCTGTCACCAAACGGACAGGACGACGGCCGGGGTCTGTGGGGGAATGGCGCTCTTGGTAACTCCAAAGATTAGAAGCAAGTGTGGTCCCTCTGCTGGGGGCAGATGAGGGGCAGAGGAGACAGGTCCCAGCTGCTGGCTGGGCTATGTCTCATGGCAGGAGGTGACTAATGGTGCCTGTCCTTCCCTTTCAGCTTGGAGACCACTGAGGATGTGTGACCCCAACCAAGGTGAGGGGCTGTGGGGCCAGGCAGGGCTGCAGGTACCACACAGCCATCAGGAGGACTTAGAGGGGAGCTCTATGCTTTGGCCTCAGACAGCTGGGGGGTTTATCTGCATCCCAGAGGGGTGTGGGATGTCCTTCGTGAGGAAGACCAGAGTGGGCCCGTTGGGTGGAAGGATGCACCAGCTCCCTGCACTGTCAGTCTGGGGAGAGCCTGTCTCTGCCCACTTACAGGTTCCTCTTCTTCCTAGGCCGGCCACAACCACACCTTGCAGTGTGCCCTCCCGCCCCTGCAGGATACCCTGGTCCTGGCACAGGTCCCTACCCTGGCGGCATTGCAGTTTGCCCTGCTGCCCCTCCAGGACACCCTGGTCCTGGCACAGGTCCCTACCCTGGCGGCGTGGCAGTCTGCCCTGCTCCACCTGTCCAGCACCCCCATGGGCACCCCCCATCAGGGCATCATCCTCATGGACACCAGGAGCACCATAAGAAGCACCATAAGAAGCACGATAAGAAGCATGATAAGAAGAAGCATGGCAAGCACCATGAAGGCAAGGTAAGAGTAAAACAGCAGTGAACCTTTCCCTAATTCTGCTGCAGACCTCCTCCAGCATACCACAGCAGCTGGGACTCTCCTCTCCTACCCTGTAGTGGTTGGAACAAACTGCCCAAACATCAGTGGCTGTTTTCAGATGTAGAAACTTGTTAGAATAATAAATAGGCAAGAATGAGTCGTATTAAGTGAGTAATTAGAAAAGCAGTCAATGAAATTCCTTGAAGCCATTTAAAGTGATAGCATGGCTTGGGGCACACCGTGCAGTATATGAAATCCCAGGACTTTGTCCTGCTCACTTGAGTGCAAGTTGTGCCTCCATAATGGACATTCACTCCGTGTCTTGCAGCAGAGGAACTGTTTGACTCCCCCTTAAAAACAAAAAATTCACCAAAAAAACAACAAAAACCCACAAAGAAACAGAAAAGGAAAAGCAATTCCTTGTGCTAAATTCTGCAGAAAATACCATTCCAGGGATGGGCACCATCCTGAGCGGGTCTGAATGAGGAACTGCTAAACGAGGCCCTATTTCCAGCATTGGGGGTGGGAGCATTTCTCAAACAAATCCTGCCAGCAGCTCCTCTCACAGGGAAACAGCTCTGGAAGTGATCTGCTGTGATGTTGGTCTTTGCTGGCAGAAAGCAAGACCTTTCTGGAATTTCCTTTATTGACCTTAAGAGTCTTGTAAAAAAATAATAAAAACCCTCCAGCCTTCTCACAATATGGGGCAGCCACCGCAGGGTCACTAACCCATCTCAGGAATGCTGTGACAGAGGTTCCTTTCCCTGCTGTCCTAAAGTTGTTCTCTCTTCCCCAGCCCTCTGGCAGCTCAAGCAGCTCAAGCAGCAGCTCTGACTCTGACTAAAGGTCTGGCATGTTCCACCTGCTCCGTGGTGATCAGCAAAAGATGAGGCCAAACTCCTCATGGGAACCCCCTGCATGTCAATCCTCTCCCTCCCCCTTTCCCCTGGAGCAATGTTTTGCCCGCTGAGTGATTTTTCTTGTGTGCAAGAGTTTGTAAATCCTTTGACCTGTAATCTCCAAGTTAATGGACAACATTTCTACCCTTTATCTTCCGGGAGAGCCTGCTGAAAGTCATTACATGTTGTTTTCCAATCTGCTGGTGTCTGTGTGTTTTTTCCTGGGCAATGATGCTGGCTGCTAACATTGATCCCGTAAACCTCCTTACATTTCGTGTGAGCTTTCCTAGGTGTAGCAGAGGGAGTGGCTGGGGGATGCTGTAATTATGTGGGTTGCCATCCTCCATGCCAGGGTAATAATTTATAGGAAAAAGCTCACCATGGCAGAGGGATTCTCCCACGAAGAGATGAGGAGCATGAAGAGCTGGTAGTGTTCAATACCAGTGCTTGGAGCAATCTGTGTTCCTGCCCATGAGATAATCTTTCAGTTCCCTCCCAACCCAAACCATTCTGTGATTCCATGGTTATCTGGATTTACCAGCTTGAAACCAGGAGAACCAGCTGCTCATCAAGAATAATTTTAAAAATCCACACTGTTGCAGCCCAAATTGTTGCTAATAAAGTCCAGGATAAAGAAGCAAAAAGGGCCTGTGCATGGTATCCACAGATGTTTAATTCAGCCATGCAGTAACATGTTCGGGTCCCAGGCACACATGGAGGGTCCAGGTTTCTCTCTCCCTAGGGACCTGCCAGGAGTAAACCTGGTCTCAGGGCAGTACGAAGATGAAGGTAAATAAGGGAATAGGGAGGGAATGACTCAGGGACATACAAACGGACAGGAATGGGGGAAGGAGCCAATGGGGTCTTATCGGCTTTTTGAGGGAAGCTTCTTGTGTTTCCCCAACCATCGGGATGCCCCCCAGGGTCTCCACATCCCACAACTACAGAAAAAAGGAGGCATTTTCAGGATAGGTTGGGAAAGGTTAGTTTATTTTTGCAGACAGCACAATTTGAATTCAAATCTGGGCATTGCTCAGGAGATACTGGTGGGAGGAAGGTACCATGGATGCTTTGAGCATACTGGGATGACTGGGAGGCAGCTCTGGTGGCTGTCCAGTATTTTGTTGATGCTGGGAGTCATGCTGCCCCTCTCAGCTGAAATTCTGAGTGCAGTAATAGATGAGCAGGTTCTGATGAGGGGCAGAATAACAGAAGGAATCAAGGCAGGTGGCCCACAGGAAAATAAAGATCTTAGAGATGATTTGTGAAATTTAACATAGATAAACCCCCCCAAATAAGCATCTGTGGAAGGCAGCAGTACCTCTCACACCATCCTGCTGTTCCCAGAAAGGATGGGCTAGAGGCACTAGGAGATATTGAGAGTTTGAGTTATTCATTGGTCCTACTACACTGGAAAGGTTTCTTGCATCTCTGATAAGCCCTCCTAGGATTACAGTACATACACAAGTCATGGCTTGGTGTGTGCAAAGCTTTACAGAAGTATTTCATATGGCTCTGTATCCTGCTTTGATCTGGGTTTTAATTAGCACCATAAATGTAAGATTCATCATGATGACTCTTCATCATGATGACGCTTCATCATGAAAATCATGAAAGAGCTCTGGATTTTGGTTAGAAAGGAGGACCCAGAGGGCAAGTCTTCAGGGCTAGCAACCATACAGGGGGAAGAAAATACAACGGGTAATATCAGGGGTGTGTATATCAGTGAGAGAAGGATTGTGTATGTGCCCTTCTTTTAACAAATCCACCGAATGAACCTGTCGAAGAAGCTGGGCTGGGAGAGGCTGTCATAGTCTTTCTCCCGGAAGATGGCTGCCCGGTCTCCAAGGCCAAGCTTTAGCAGGACATCCATGTCCACATCACTCCCAAGAGCCACCACTGTGGGCATGACATCTTGCTTCTTCATGGAGTTGATGGCCTCCTCCAGGTTCTTGCTTCCCGTGATGCCATCGGTGATGAAGACAAAGGAGAGCTCGGCATTGCGCCGGGCAAGTCGCTGCCCGTTGCCTGGGCTGAGCACGATGTTGTTGATGGCGTGGATGATGGCTGACCCGATGTTGGAGGACGAGTCCAGGTACTTGATCTGTGCCAGCGCGTCGGAGATCTCGGTGAGGTTGTGGGTCAGCGGGAAGACCACGTTCTGGTCCCGCTCACTGCCGTATTGCAGCAGCGCGATCCGGGCGTTCATGGGGTCGCTGCTGCTCCGGGCCAGCGTCAGCTGCTGGGCCACATCCTCCACGAAGCGGTGGGCACTCTGGAAGTTCTGCTCCCCGATCCTTTCTGAGCCGTCCAGCAAGAAGACGACATCAACAGGGCGCTGGGTGCACTGGGCTACAGCAAGCTCTGCAGGGGGAAGAAGAAGACAGGAGCTGGGAGAATGAGAAAACTACAGGATAATTTGGGTTGGAGTTGCCCCTGTGCACCCTTGTCCAAAGAAGGACCAGCCCAAGCCCACTACCAAAGCCTGTCTTTACAGCTTGAAATGTAGGAGCTTTGCTTTTGATGTCCTCAGCTATTGGGCATTTAATGAATGTTAATTCTGAGACTGACCCTCGTGAAGTTAGATATGTCTCTGCATTTAAGTCTCAGAATTATGCCCACTGCCCTACATCAATTTCCAGCTCTTATTTGTGAGAGGAATATCCAGAGATTAATAGCAAGCAGCACCTGAAAACCTCTCAGTTACTTCAGGAGAGCGGTTTACTATCAGAGTTACTCTTAACATAAAATCATAGAATCAGAGAATCTCAGAATGGTTTGGGTTGGAGGGAACCTTAAGGTTCATCTTGTTCCAACCCCCTGCTATGGGCAGGGACACCTTCCTGTAGACTAGATTGCTCCAAGCCCAGTCTAACCATATAGAATATATTAATATATGCAGTGAATAAACTCAGGAAAAAACAAAAAGTAGAAGAAAGTAGCTATCTTTTGAGTCAGCTGGTAGGGGCCACTGTTTCCTCCCTTTTCTGTAGTTATGCACATTCCATTCAGTGTTCCTTTTGAACACTTTCATGTATGATGACTCCACTGTTTCCCTGGGCAGCCTGTTTTAGTGCCTGACCACCCTTTCAGTGAAGAAATTTCCCCTAATATCTAATCTAAATCTCCCGTGGTACAACCTGAGGCCATTTCCTTCTGTCTTCTCACTTGTTACCTCCTCTCCTTTGAAGCAATAAAGGCGCATACTCACCTCTGCCCAAACTTCTGTGAGAAATGTTGTGCTAAGGCACGTTGATGCTGCAGTTCCAGGCACTGCTGCCACAAGGATACCTCACCTTGGCAGCACCTGCACTCCTGGTCCTCACCTGCTCTGAGCAGCCGTGGAGGGGGAAAGGCAGAAGGAATCCCCCTTGCAACCACACAGCGCAACACCTATGTGAGGGTCTGTGAAAGCAGGTGGGAGCAGGGGCTGTGCGTCGTGTTGGGGCAGTGTTAACAGCCTCCCCCAAGGCTGCCCACATGTTTTTAAGACAACATGAAAGCCTGAAGAACTCCTGGCTAAGCAGAGGGCAGCATCCATGGAGCTTCAGCGAGAATGTAGTGCACATCTGATAGGAGCGTTCCCCAGGCTCGCTGCTCAGTCCTCACAGCTGGAGAAGACTGCTTTCCAGTGTTTGATAAGGTGCCTTTACGTATGAGTTATCCCAAGGTAATGTGAGGCAGCAAAGCCTTGGGTTTGTCCTGTTCAGTGTCAGGCTCTGGTTGCAGCTTGTTCCCATTTCTGAGAGGCTGAGGACCTGAGCACCCTTTTCTACAGCAAGATTCTCGTCCTAACTGGAAGAGAAGCTCTCAAAGGCACCACCATGAGTTAGGCCAACCAATGTTGTCATGCTTTTAACTGGTGCATTGGTCCTTTTCATGAGGATCATGAATGCCTGTGGCTCACAGCTGAGGATGTCTAACGAAGGCAACACAAATAATCAGAAACTGATTTTTCTTTTTCATTGATTTTTCTGCCATTGGTGTGTGCAGAGCAGCCCCACCCATTCACATCACCTTCCTGCTTCTTCTAAAACCTGAGGAACTTGTATTTCCTCTATTCTTTCCCAGTGTTGGCAGTGTAGATGAAAGTGAAGTGGGGACTGACATCCTTTTTGGGGTTTCCTCCTTTCCTAGTTTCTCCTGTCTTTGGAGAGGCATGGACCATCCTTTACACAGCTCCTTATCTTTATCATGTCCTTACTTTGCCCAAGAGCTTCACTGAAGGAATTGCTATTGTGATGAAATCCATCTGGTTTTATCAGAGGGATTAGCTAGGATTATGCTAAAAAAAACACTCCTTCACCCATTTGCCTCTAACAAGAACAAGCACAAATACTCCTCATGCAAAGAGACATTTTCTCCCTCTCCCCACCTCCAAAGAGCTGAAGGTTTTTGAGAGGTAAAAAACTTTGTTTCTAGTGTTTTGCTAGAAATAAATGGCCACTGTGTGATGAAATTAAATAAAATCAACACCTCCTTAGCTCAAATCTTCCCCAAATCTCTCTTTGTTCAGCAAAATATTCCAGCCCTGAGACCTTTTCCAATCAATGGGGTTTGGGAGATTTTCCTCTGGCATCATGGCTGGAGCAGCTTAACTACTCTGAGTTCAGTCCTGCATCCCAGCAGGCTAAGTCACACTAATTTTGCAGTAAAAAATCACGAGAGAGTAGGGAGTTTGGCTTTGCACAGACTGTCTGGAATATGTGAATTATGACCAGAGTCAGGCAGAGGCTGATCTTTTTGCTTTCACCTAAAACACACAGCATGCCATGGAAAGCCCTCAGAACTCTTACCCCTCTATTCTGCACTGATAGCAGTAGAGTTCTCTCAGCAACTTGTCCCTGGGAGGAAAAAGTGCTGAAACCTTGGGGGAGCACTCCAGTAAGTGCAAAGCAGGCAATTCCAATGGCCGAGCTTGGCAACTGGCTCCACTTTTTACACCTGGAAATACTACAGCCACATTCCTGAAGATGGCACATCTCCCTTCTGCCCATTAAATATGACATTTGCTCAGTATACTTTATTGCAACAATACCATGTCAGTTAGAGTAAGCGCTTTTACTCCTGTGTCTGCACACAAAATTCCACTACCTCTAAATAGAGCTTGAGAGCAGTAAAACTGGAGGTGGGAAGGGCACTGGCCTGCCTGACTGTGTGCAACCAGGGGCAGCTGAGCGGATGGAGATACCAGGCCTTGTCTAAACACGCATACCTGCAGTGCAGGCGGTGGCTCTGCAGTCTCTGAGCCAAAGCAGCACTGGGTGTGGACTGAGTAGGCTCTACTATAACAAGCTTGCTTTTAAACAACCCACATCGGTCAAGGAGTTTTGCTTTGGACCACCCAGCCCCACGTGACAGAATATCTGCCTTTTGTATATGGACAGGTACATGTTGTGGA